TACCATTCCATTTCGAAATTGAACGGTACAATACCATAACCATGTTCAACAAATACCCTACAACAAATACAATAAAAAGATCAACATAATTTTACTAAGGGCCCGTTTAGTATAAAGAATTGGAATTGAATTAAAATTAAAATTCTATGGAATTGAATTTGATAGAGTTGAATTATAATTAAATTCCAAATCCTTCGTTTAGTATAATTAAGTGTTAGAAATGTCAAACAAAGGAATAGTGTCAAACAATAGAATTGATTGTAATATCTTGATAATATCCTTGATTGGAATCAAATTACTAATCAAGATATTTGATTAGGTTCCAATCACTTTCCTTAATTGTCCTCTTTATGTACTTTGTAATATTTATAGACATCAAGAGTGATGTATTCAATATGAAGAACAATTAAGCTATGAATTCATTCTATTATCTTTTCAATATGGTATCGGAGCCTTCATTTGATCCAACAATTGAATGAAACGCAACTTTCTTCATCTACCATAAAAACATTGTCCGATAAAACTCCTCAAACGGGCAGCTCCACCAACACAGAGGAATATGAAACTCCTCGATTCTAGAGTGGTTACACAGCCCAGTCTTGCCACCTGAAACTGTCCCAATCGAGGAAGTAAGTCACTCCGTGAGATCATCTTTTGAGAACATTGAAAAGTCCAACAACTCAGAACTCATGTCTGATTCTACTCCGTCTGAAAAGACTCCTGAGGTTATTATTTCCCCCACTCTTGATGATTGCATTGATAAATCTAATGATACCGTGGAAGAATTGAATATATCAAACAGATATGTTCTCCCACCACGGAAGAATCGGGGAATTCCTCCTGTCAAATATGAACCAGAATACATCCCTCGGAACTCAAGATATCATGTTGCTGATCTAGTCAGGGGGAGTGTATCACATGCACTTCACACATCCAACCATGAAGTCCCTAGAACAGTAGACGAAGCCATACGAATACCAGAATGGAGAAAAGCAATGGAGGAGGAGATGAAGGCACTAGAGAAAAACAACACATGGGAGAAATGTCAACTCTGCCCAGGAAAGAAAGCAGTCGGATGCCGATGGGTATTTACAGTCAAACACAAAACAGATGGTACAATCGAGAGATATAAGGCCAGATTGGTAGCTAAAGGATATACTCAAACTTATGGTATTGACTACTCTGAGACTTTCTCACCAGTAGCCAAAATTGATATTATCCGAGTATTATTCTCCGTAGCAGCTAATCTAGATTGGCCCTTATATCAGTTTGATGTGAAGAATGTTTTTCTCCATGGAAAGCTAAAAGATGAGGTTTACATGGAAGCACCACCTGGGTTCTCGTCGGATTTCAGAGAAGGCAAAGGTTGTAGATTATGAAAAGCTTTGTATGGTCTGAAACAATCTCCAAGCGCATGGTTTGGCAGATTTACGATAGCCACGAAGAAATATGGATATCGTCAAAGCAACTCTGATCATACCTTGTTTCTAAAATTAAAAGACGAGGCAAGCTCATAACATGTTTGATCATCTATGTGGATGACATGATAATTACTGGCAATGACATAGAAGAGATGGCTATACTAAAAGGCAAGCTATTCCAGGAATTTGACATGAAGGATCTTGGAGAACTTAATTTTTTCCTTGGCATTGAAGTTCTCAAATCTCAGGAGGAGATCTTTATTTATCAAAAGAAGTATATCCTTGATCTTTTAGTTGAAACTGGATTAATGGATTGCAAACCGGCTATCACTCCGATGATGGTTAACCACTGACTTCAAATTAGTAAGGGAGGAATACAAGCTGATCAAGATAAGTACCGAAGACTTGTAGGCAGACGTATATACCTCGCACTCACAAGACCTGATATTGCATATGCTGTCGGAGTGGTAAGTCAGTTCATGCACAAACCACAGAAGGAACACTGGGATGCGGCTATCCGAATTGTGAGATATCTTAAGGGGACCATTAATCTGGGAGTTACATTCAAAAAATATGGTCACTTAGATATTCAAGCCTACACAGATGCTGACTGGACAGGAAATCCAACCGATCGAAGATCCACTTCAGGGTATTTCACCTTTGTTGGAGGTAATCTGGTCACATGGAAAAACAAGAAACAAAAGGTAGTTGCTCTATCAAGTGCAGAAGCAGAATTCAGAGGTATTGGTCGAGGAATTACCGAAGTCCTTTGGTTAAGAAAACTCCTTAAAGATTTGGGGTACCCGCCGAAAGGAAAGTGTAGACTAATGTGCGATAATACCGCTGCTATCCGTATATCAGAGAATCCAGTACAACATGATCGTACCAAGCACATCGAGATTGATCGTCACTTTATCAAAGAAAAACTCGAGGCAGATATCATCAATCTTCCATATGTCCGATCTGAAGATCAGTTGGCAGACATTTTAACAAAAGCAGTACCGGCTGGAGTCTTTCAAGCAACATTAAGCAAGTTAAATATCCAGAATGGATGATTCAAATTGAGGGGGAGTGTTAGAAATGTCAAACAAAGGAATAGTGTCAAACAAAAGAATTGATTGTAATATCTTGATAATATCTTGATTGGAATCAAATTACCAATCAAGATATTTGATTAGGTTCCAATCACTTTCCTTAATTGTCCTCTTTATGTACTTTGTAATATTTATAGACATCAAGAGTGATGTATTCAATATGAAGAACAATTAAGCTGTGAATTCATTCTATTATCTTTTCAATATTAAGGGGTTGATATAGAATTGTAATGTAATTCCAAATTCTTTGTTTGGTTACACAAAATTATAAAACGAATTGGTATAGAATTGTACTTTGGGATTTCTAGGAGTAGAGTAATTCAAAGCAAAATCCTAGCTCTTTTTAAACCTCATTCATTCAAATTCTAATTGTGTTAGTAGGATGTTAAAGATATTAAATTTTATAATTGAAATCAAAGATTTAAAAATAAATTGTAAAATTTAAAACTTAAAAATAAAATTAAATTTAAAAAATATAAACCAAAAAATAAAAAAATAAAATTTAAAAATGAAAGTGAAAATCAAAACATGAAATTTAAAATAAAAAATCAAAAATTTTAAATTTAAAAACAAAACTTTTAAAGTTAAAAAGTAAATTTTAAATTTTAAATTTAAAAAATAATAAATTAAAAATATGAAGTAAAATATTAATTTTAAATTTTATATTTCTAAAATTTATTTCTTATTGGAAATTTTTTAATTAATATTTAAATTTAAAATTCTAAAATTAGAATTTTCATTATCTTAAATTTGAACATTTTAATTTTTTTATTTAAAATTTCATTTAAAATTTATTTTTGATTTTTAATTTTAAATTATTTTGTTAAAAATTTAAATTAATAGTTTTTAATTTCTAATTACGAATTTTCAATTTTAATTATAACATTTTAAATTTAGAATTTCAAATTTGAAATTTTAAATTTAAAACTTAAAATTTCAAATTTTATGTTTTAAAGTTTTTATTTCAAAATTTAAATTTAAAATATTTATTTAAAAATTTTAAATTTAAATTTAAATTTAAATTTTCAACTTTAAACTTTAAATTTTATGTTTTATATTTTAAAATTTAAACTTTAAACTTCAAATTTTAAATTATGTATCTTCAACTTTAGTTTTAAACTTTAAATTTTTAGTTTTTAGTTGTAGGTTTTTAATTATAAATTTTAGAGTTTTAGATATTAATTTGTTTTATTTAAAAATACTTAATATGAGTTTTAAATTTTTAAAAATTAAACTTTAAATTTTAAATTTTAAATTTTAAATTTAAATTTTAAACTATCAATTTTAATTTTTAATTTAAAATTTGAAATGTTTAAATTTTAATTATGTATTTTTAATTTAAAATATTTAAGGAAAATAAATTTGAATTTTTAGTATTTAAAAATTACCCGAGTAGATTTCCATTTTATATTTTAACTTTTAAATTTTAATTTTTAAATTTTATTTCTTTAGTTTTAAATTTTAAATTTTTACTTTTATATTTTATGTTTTAAATTTTAAATGTTTAATTTTTTAATTTAAGTTTTTAATTTCATGAGACTTGTTTCTTTGTTATAACACCAAAAAGATTTGTGTGATCTGATTTTGACTCATAGAATTCAAATTTTGAATTTGTAATTCTTTTCCCATTCTATGAAATTCAAAATATGGAATTAGTATATTTAGAATTAAAATTGGATTCCAAGTCTACATATTTTGTGCTCTCAAACTAAAGAACTGAAATTTCTAATTCCTATCACTTGAATCCAGAAGAGCATGCCAACAACCGATTCTCCTTTTCCTTTTTTTGTGGTATTTTGAGTTTTGAATCGGGCGAGGTTTGGATTCAGTAAGGGGTTGTTTGGCAAATTCTGAATAGGTAAGTGCTGAACCATCTAAACCATTAAGTGCTGAACTAGTAAGAGGTCTGAACCATTAAGATCTGGTATATTGCTTAACTATTCAGAGGCAAATATCTGATCAATTCAGATAAGAGGTTTTAACCATTCAGAATCTGTATAATACATAACCATTCAGAGGCAAATGTCTGAACCATTAAGAGGCTGAAACAAACAGTTTGAACCATTAAGTGCTAAACCATTCAGACATCTGAACCATTAAGAGGCTGAAACAAACAGCCCGTAACATCGCTCGCAGAGTAATTAAAATAATGAACTCCCCCAATATAACCAAGAAATGCAAAATGGATCACAGCCTCCCAAACCAAATAATATTTTTCGCAAGCATTATAAGTTATTAGATGGTCAAAAATCCCTCCTTGTGTGCGGTGGCCGGCCATCATCGATCATCATCTCAATATTCATTATTCCTTCCTCACATTCATTCCCCAGCCAACTCCTCCTTGTTGTATCTCTATCCCATTGATGCAACCCTCCGTCGTCGTCCCATCCACGGAGGACGGCGATTCCTCGATCTCCTCCTCCGCCCACCGCGCGCCACCTCACCCTGTGCATCTATCCATCGGAATTGTAATAAATTGAAGGAAAAACAAAAAAAAACGCGCGCTCGATCGATCTCAAAGACATGGCGGCAATGGTGAAACCGTTTCAGCTCCTGGAAATTAACATAATATCCGCGCAGGATCTGGAGCAGGAGTCCAAAAAAATGCGGACCTACGCCACCGTCTGCCTGAATCCGACGCGGCGGCTCACCACCGCCGTGGACTACGACGGATGCAACAACCCCACGTGGAACGACAAGTTCGTGTTCCGCGTCGACGACGAGTTCCTCCAGCGGGACACCTCCGCCGTCCAAATTGAGATCTTCTCCGTCCGCTGGTTCCGCGACTCTCTCGTCGGGACTGTCCGTTTTCTCGTCGGTAATCTCTTCCCTCCACCGCCCGCTCGGGGCCACCGTCAAAATTTTGGCATGCGTTTCGTAGCCCTTCAGGTGTGTACTAATCTTTAATTTCCCATCCTTCATCCAATTGGCAACTCACGTCATATAATAAACCTGGATAATTAAGCTAATTACCCCCTAATTCCCTTCTTTAAATATTGGCTACATCCCAACAAGAATGTTACATTATTTGAAACCAAGTGACATAACAATTTTTTAAATATATTTTATTTGAAAATGGTATATAAATAAAATACTCCCTTCGTCCCACAAAAAGAATCTCATTTTGATGTATTTTTTGTTAAACAGTTACACGCTTTGACCATAAATTAAATATAATCTAAATAAGAAATCCTAAAAAAATTTGAGATATCAAAACTAGATCCTAAGATGAATCCAATTATATTAAATTTAGTTTTTAATTTAATATACATTTCTCACAATTTGTAGTCAAAACATGTAAATATTTGACTAAATATTATTCAAAATTGGAAATTTTTTGTGGGACGGAAGGAGTATAAGATTTACATATCTAAAAACTATGTCAAAAAGTAGGTAGGAGAGAAGATTATTTTATTTTATTTAGATGAAGTAAAAAAAGAGTTGTCACCGATTGCCTTTTATTATGGGTGTTCATTCGGTAAACCGAACCGAACCAAAAATTCAGTAATTTATTTTTTGTACCAAATACTGAACTGAAATCAAATGATTCGATTCAGTAAAAACCAAATTAAATCGGTTTGGTAATCGGTTTTATCAAAAACCGAACATAAACCAAAATTTGAACTTTAAAAAATCAATTACATTCTCCAAATTGAAAATAACAAAGCATAAATAGATCCATTACATATAAGTTCATTAGACACTCAAAAGTTAAAATAAGACAGTACAATTGGAACTATTACATAAATTAAAAAAATAGTTGATCCGAATAACACAATTGTCCATTTCAAAAAATAAAAACATTTACCAATATTATTAATTTGATGCTTTAGTTTCATGATTTCCAATCTTCAATAACTCCAAATTTAGACAATAGAACTTAAAATTAGTGAGTTCGATATTCATTATTTCAATATTGGACTAGATATTGGATATTGGATTGAGTAGAAATAGGTAAAAATTATACATAAGTATTAAATAATTTTGGTATTTGGTTTTTTTACCGAAATTCCGGCTCCAAATTTTCTACCGAACCAAAAATGAATTTTTTCAAAATATGAGAACCGAATATCAAACCAAATTATTTGGTTCGATTTGGTATGTACCGAATTTTCAATTTCGGTTCGGTCGATTTACCAAATTGTGCACACTCCTACCTTTTATACTCCGTAAAAAATGCTGCCCCACCCCGTTTTATATCGTTTTTTGTTCCATCCAAGTTTTCACATTCATTCCCCATATATTTATTATTATTGTCGGTTATTTTCTAATCTTTAACGTAAAACTATTTAAATTTCTAGAACATTAATAATCGTTTTATTGTTTGAACTTTTTTTTGTATAATCTAATTTTCTAAAAGTATTGATAAGTTTTTTCTTCGTTCAAAAGGAAACAAGCGAAACAAGTTCTTCAATTCAAATAAGTAAATACCCAAAGTAAAATTTAATCTACTATACAAAATTTTATCAGAAATCCATGTTAATTAATTATGAACATTACTAGTTTTAGTTGTCTATGTCACTACATATCACTTGAGATTTTTTAAAAATTGGGAGTTGTTATTTTGAGTCTATTCATTGTGTACTATTTTGAAGACTTTTGATGGAAATAGAACTCATATTACCCTCAATTAGAGAGGGTGTCCAATTGAATATTAGTGAACAAAATGTGAAATATCTCAAGTATAAATAATTATTTACGGAATTTAATCTTCTTAATTAAATAGTATATGAAAAGAAATATTCGGAGATAAATATAAATTTATCTATCTAGAGTATGAATAATTATTTGTGGAATAATTTACTCTCTACATATGAATTTTGTTACTTTCCTCTGCTTAGAGTATTTATCCAATTTTATTTCTTTAGAGTCAATCAAAATTAAATTTGATCTATAGCTAAATACTCGTAAAAATTATATGATATACTAATTAGATAGAATAATATTTTGAAAATAATTTACAAGAAAAATCTAATAATAAAAATTTTGTACTAATATCTAAAATCATTTTTATTTAAATTAGGGTTAAAATTCATCAATTTTGACCATAAAAAATCAAAACTAGACAAATAATCTGGAGGAAAATGTAGTATTAACTATCTCTTTTTTGAAAAATTGAAAAGAGTAAATTTTCAAAATGGAACTTTCTACTCGGTAAGGTGTGTTTCTTAAGTAACTCTCAATAAACAAATATTTCTAAGTCAAAAATGTCTATTACATGAAAGTTAAATAGAGGATATTTTTGTATTTTCCGTCGTCTAAACTATGAATAAGACTTTAAAATGGTACTTTCAAATGAAGTAGGTGGCTGCTAGATGAACGGATCCACCCCGAGTAGGCTCATTGACTCCATTTTGGGAAAACATTTACTTTGAAATTATGAGTTTCAAAAAATACTTAATTATAAAGAATCATTTCGAGAATATACTTTAAGTCGATCTAAATGATTGAAAATACCAAAATACCTTCTATTTGACTGACATTTGATAGACATTTTCGACAAAGGACTATTTAGAAGATACTTCTCAATTACAAAGGACCACATTTGTTAATGTTATTTATTGTAAACTAATTTGAAAAATACCTTACTAATAGATTATCTATAATATCCTCTTATAAGGAGTAGGATTTTTTCACATACAAACAATTAATTGTATTCTTCTTGTCTGTAAAAAAAAATTGTATTCTTCTTGTGTTAAAGTTATTTTCTGTTTCTCAGTCTAAAAAATCTTAGACCTTTTATTCATAGAAATTTTTGTATTGCTAAAATAACTTTTCCTACACAATAACACTTACACTATATTGGTTCAATAAATTTGAAAGGGAAAAGAAAAAATATTAAGATGGAAAATAGTTGTTCAAGGAATTTGAAAGGAAAAGAAAAAAATTAAGATGGAAAATAATTTTTCTTGTTTGGTTAGATAAAAAAGAAAAGAAAAGTGAATGAAAAAAATGAAAAGATAAAATATACTAAGAGGAGCAAAAACCAAATTACTTTCATTTTGATGAGTCAAATGAGAAAAACTCAGTTGATTTTCTTTCCTTTCCTAGTTCTTTGAACCAAACATAGTGTTACACTTTATTTGGTTCAAAGAATTTGGAAAGAAAAGAAATTGATTTTCTTTCATTTTCTTCATCAAAATGGGCGGAATTTAATTTTTTCTCCTCTTAGTTTATTCTGTGTTCTCAATTCATTTTGCTTCCACTTTTTTTTTCCTTTTCTTCCATATCCAAACAAGAAAAATTATTTTTCATATCACTTTATTTTCTTTTTCCATTTCAAATGCCTCGAAACAAAGATATTCTTAAAAAAAAGTTTAGTATTGATTATACTATGGAATTTTTTTTGAGTGAATCACTGATCGAGTTTATGAGTTAGGATTGCCAGTAGAAATGTTTGAATTTTGATTTGATTTGATAAAATGGCCGGGCAACGTAGGTTCGGCGGCAATCCGGGCGTCCACAAGGGATCCTGAACATCGGCGTGGCATTACTGGACAGCTCCATGAGGAGCATGCCATTGTACAGACAGATGAGCATGTCAGCCGTCGGATTCCGAGATCTCCTTATGGACGACCACCTCCACCACCCCAACAACCACGCCGCCGCCGCCCACCCGCCTCTACTCCGCCGCATGAAAAGCGAGCGCAGCACCCTGGTGTCCTACGACGACATCTCCCTCAACAACAGCTCTCTGGTCGCGATCCCAAAGCCTAGGGCCGCCGCCGCTGCTGCGGAGAAGGAAAGCTCCATCCTCAGCATCTCCTTCGAGCCGCCGCCGCCGCCGCCTCCCCCGCTCCGGACCAAGAAGGTGGGGAAGGCCAGCTCCGTCATCAGCGGCGCCGAGCTTCGGGAAGACATGACGGCTAAGAACAAGCGCAAGAACGGCAAGGCGAATTCGGTTTTGAGCGATTCCGTTAGAGAGTCGCATCATCATCACAACGAGAAGATGATTGAGGCGAGGGATAGCGAGAAGAAGGCTGTTGTTGTCAGCGAGAGGCCCAACGGGCCAGGAGTGGACAGCAATAGGCCCAATCAGACGAGCCCGATTTCGAAGCCCAACATCGCGGGGCATTACGGGAGGCCGTGGAAGGGGAACTCGATGCTGTCAGACTCGGAGGTGGGTCCGTCGCCGTCAGAAGTGGCGGCGGCGATGGCGGAGCGGAGGTACCCGTTGGAGGCGGCGGCGGCGGAAGGAAGCTCGGTGCTGGACGGGTGGAGCGCGGATGAGAGCGTGGAGGGGCTACGGTCGAAGCTGGAGCGGTGGCGGGCGGAGCTGCCGCCTCTGTACGATCGGGGGTATGCCAGCAGCAGCTTCCAGTCGAGCAGTTACCACATGCGGCGGCACACAGAGGGCGGCGAAAGGGACGGTAGGTTTTCCTGCTTCGGAAACATCTTCGGGTACGAATGCGAGTGCGTTTGTGGGCAGCCTCCGCCCCAGAAGACCAGGAACTACTTGTACAAAAGCCCATCAGTCGGTAGTTTCCTCTAAATGGATGGATATGGGCTTATACGACGTGAGGAATGATTGACAAATATTGTGCTTTGAGAGAGAGAGAGAGAGAGAGATCTATGCGATCCACAATGCTTGCACGATTTTATTATAGGAGGGATCGGAGTATCATTGTTCTCTTGTTGTAAGCTTGTAACAACTAATGGTGTGTAATGCTGCTCTGCCCATTTGCCCAATTTTGGTGGGTCAATATGTACTAGTTACTTTATTTTCTAGTGTTTTTTTGTTCCATGGAATGTATGAGGAGGGGTTTTTGGAAAAAAGAACAAAATGGACTTAACATTTTCCTTTATATGTTTGTGGATGTGTGTTGTCTCTAAAAATATGATGAAAATCAACTCCAATACTTAATTAGGAGTTAGAAAGTTATGGAATAATTTAGAGCACCCCTGACGCATAAGTGAGAGAATGTAATGTGTTGGTGCACTGTTCGATTGTAAATATAATGAGCATTATATTCGACGAGATAAAGAAAATACAGACTCTCGTTGCAAATCTCTACCTATACAATAATTACAACAACTACAAAATAACAAACCTAAGAGTACTGGAAATGATCTTAACGCCGGGGGGCATTTTTTTTCAATTTTATCGCCCCGGGCATTAAACACCGCCCCCTGGGACTTCATCAAGTCATTAATGCTCATGCGTCAAACATTTAACGGGCGAATGCAGTAGGCCCCCCTCCCTTCTAATGGCTATAATGTCATTACATATTTTAAAAAAAATTCTCGTTCTATAAATTCGCTTTAAAAATAACACGCAAACACAAATCCCTCTCTTTTCTTTCCTAAAAAAAGAATTCTTCAAGCTTTTCTCATACTTTTATCATGAATCCCTTTAGTTCCTCTGTTCTGATCCTTCATCCGGTCTTGAGCCAAACGAGTATGCGATGTGGATTTACCAATGTACGAGAGTAATCCGGCATTGTTCGATACGCAAACTCAAAGAATCTGGAGGACCCGAAGTCAGTTCCAGAGACTCTAGGCGAACCAAGTGCACCCAAAAAAGTACACGTCGGAAGAGTCACAAACCTTGGTAAGATTTAAATGTTTTTTTTAATGTATATTGTATATATGTTCTCTTTTATATATTTGTGTTAATATATTTTCTTTCGTTCAAACATATATTTCTTAAAGTTCTTGTCAAACAAAGGATGCGATGTAGGATCGTATCGAAGAGAAGTTCTTTGCAGCGATGAACAAAGACGCCTCATACCGAACTCGAGACCAATTTACTTCGCAATGGGGCTACATCAACAGAAAAAGTTCAAAAGTTTATCGGAGTTTTCAGGGAATGCTCTCGGTCTCGGAAGAGGGGGATTAATGTATTATTTTTAAAAATTTTACGTTACTTTTTTATTGAATGCAATTTTTTTTATTTAATTTAGTATTATCTTTTAAATTTAATTAATTAATGAAATCTTATTAATTCAATTTTATATCTGTATTAGAAAAATTTAAAAAATAAAGGTTTGAAGCCCCAGTTTTAAACCACGGAACTTCAAACTTATTTTAAGTGAAATTGTGATGTGGAGGTTAAAGTTGATGTGGCAGAGAGAAGATTTGAAGCCCAGATTTAGACTTGGGGATTTCATGACCATTTCCAGTGCCCTAACAAACTTGAAAGTGTTTCCAACTACATTTAGTGTTAGACTTAGACATGGTCTCCCCTCAGAAGTGATACCAATATACCATGCCTATATTTGACATTTTACGGCACTAAGAGTTCTATTTTACGGAGTAGTTTATTTCTATGAGATATTGTTTGATTTCTTAAACAATATGGGAGAAATACCAAAATAGCACTCTTGGGTTTTCTCCTGAGTTGTTTTGATATAAATATTACAGAGTACTTCGTTTAGAGTCTGATGGATTAGGGATTTTACCTAATCCAATATTATTTGAACAGTACAAGTAAGCCCCAATATTATCCGGTCCAAGATATAAATCAGATCAATTATTCAAGATGAAGCCAGAGATATGAAGACGAAGAAAATAATTTGATGAGATGTATAATTTATTTATTTATTTATTTTTTGGATTTTGCTATTCAGTGCGGTGCCGACCCGGTACTGCGGTACTGAGTTCGTCGGGTCGACGCCCCGAAAAAGCAGTTTCCATCGGAGTCTTTAGGTCAATTTCTTAATCTACAATCTTGTCTTTACTACACCCCTGGCTGCTGGTCATTCCTAGTCGCACCTTCACTGACTCTGCTGTGTGCCCATTTCCAACTCATTCGGCTCCCCTCGCCAAATACGGAATGGTTGAAGCAAATGGGAGTAGAGAATTATGGAGTACCCGTTTGAAAAAAAAGAGGGTTAAACACACCAAAGCTCCGTTAGGTACATGGAATTGAAGTCAAAAAAGTGAAATTGGAGACTGCACATCCAATTCTCCTATTTGGTGGCTCAAAATATGTGAAATTAGAATTAATAATGCAAAAAATGAATTGAAATGAGAAAATTCAATTCCATCCAATTTAATTCTCATTCAGTTCTAATTCTGTCAATTCTATATACCAAACAGACCCTACACACATTTTTTTATTTTAAGAAAATGATAGTATGATATAAATGTGTTCTCTCCTATGCATAAATTTCTACCGAAATTTAATCTTTTTAAAGTACGGACTAGCTATTCCGAGTCAAATGCAAAAACCTTAAGAGGGGAAACTTTTTATTAAGGGTGAAGGGTAATTTTCACTGGATTTTTTCAAGAGGAAGAATTGGAAAACCTGGTGTATGGCCGGTATGGGTAAGATTTCAAAGAATAAATCAGCAGCGTATACCAATGCCCGCCCAGCATCATGCCCGCCATAAGAGAGGGATGGAGGGAGGGACAACATCAAAAGGTTCCTAAAACATCAAGAGCTGCAGCAGTGCAATTTATGTACATATATCTATATAAGTATATATATACAAGCTGAAATGTACTTGGATGAAAAAGAACTACGTAGTTCAAAAGGTCCAAGATTCCAGANATTTAATTTTTTCTGCTAATGGCACTAAACGTAACGGACATATATGCTTCTTCTTGCCTGCACAGTCAAAATTCATACTAGATGATGATGCCGGGAACAATAGTTGTGTCACGTAGTGTACAGTGCAAGATAATGTACGTAGTCACAAAATTGCAACCGTTACGTCCAAGCCTCATCTGCAAAAATAAGTTAAAAAATCACCATAGAATGACAAGAGAGTTTAAATAAGGTGGCGCCTATGGCAGTGATTCCTCTTATGTTGAATGGCAAATCAAGGTTTTTAACCGTCATACAACTCGTGGGAAATAGATACTGACCAAATAAATACGCTAATAAAATATTGTGCAAGATCCATGCACTTTATACTTCACAATCAATGTTTCAAATAGGGACCTTGAAATTTACTGTGTTCTACCAACCTAATCTGTGAGCACCAAAAAACCTACTCCCTCCATCCCATAAAAATGTTCCTTGTTTCGTTTTTTGTTTGTCCTAAAAAAGGTTCTTTCTGCTAAGTACATAACCACACATAATGCTATACATAATGAAAGATGTGTTGAAGTTGGCCAAACTCTGAAATCATCAAATCATGTTCAATATTCTATTCTAAAATAAGCAACAATGAGAATGTCTAACTATTTGGCATTATATTGTTACTAGCTCTAAATCGAACCCTACATGGAGCTTGTTCTCTTCTAACACTCACGGATTATTACTTATTTTTATTGGAATCAGATCAGATCAGGAACATCTTTAAATACAACTACAATTAGATAAAATCAGATTAGATCAAACCAGGTCGTAAGTCTGAACTTATTCCAATCAGATCCAGATCAAGTGAAGAGAGCCCTTGGTCTCGTTCAACAAAATCCCCAATATCAAAGATATCCATACTGACTATGCTTTCCTCTATGCCTAGGTCTATTTTTGCGCTTGCAGCCACAATAGCTAGCACGTTAAACTCCAAATTGTGCGTTAACTAACCATGGTAGGTGATTCGCGTGAAAATTATAAGCCATAATTATGTGTTGAAATGCATGCACAAGTAGTGGTAAAGTTAAGAATTATATTCTAACATTATTAGCTTTTTTTCTGTAAAATTAGTTTGCTTATTGTAAATGTTAAGGGAAATGTTCCCAGGCGTTGTAAACCATTTGCTATAAATTTACATCAAGCTGAGGGAATATAATCAGCTAATTTCAAAAATGCCATCATAGATTCAGAGCCTACACTACCAGTGCTGTACATTTGCTCTCAAAGCCTAAACAACATTTACTTTAAGTAGTACTATTTTCTTTCCGCCGAAGTTCTAAGCACTGATACAAACAGTTCACGTATCAGCATTCTGCATCGCTGTCAAGTTATCCTATTGCCAAAGTCCAATTACCGTAGTAATACTAAGGAAGCTTAGCAATTTCAATCAACCAGTCCCCACTCCCATCAGCAGGTCTACTGGCTTGGTCTCATTTGAAATTTTGTTTTAGATATTTTCCAGTGGACTGTTGCTTTGTCTACAAATGCTGGCAACCACAGTCCACAGGTTTGGCTCTAATCAGCTTCCACTTCCTTCTACTGTTTGGGTCACTGGTGCTGATTTCCTTGCAGCCTTTATAGCAAGCTGCTTCAATGGTGTCTTTTCTCTGCTGGACTTACGAATGGTCTTTTTTTTTACGGAAGTCCAGGTAACAACAATACCAGGACAATCCCAACTCCATTGGGGTCTAAGGTGAAGATGTACACAACTTTGCCCATGCAAGAGGTTGTTTCTGTTAGACTTGTGATGCATTTTATGCCTTTACTGCCCAAAACATCATAGAAAGTAAGAACAGGAGTTCAATGTGCCAATTGAATTTAGTCCATTACTTACCCAAAGCTAAAACATTGTCAAAGTTAACTCAGTTAGGTCCATTGCCAATGGACGTTAATTGAAGTTCAGGTAGCATCCATCGGAATTTTATCTTCTAGGTAGTGCGTCAAGTTACTGCAGGATTAGCACACTTTTTTGGCTCTGCTAGTTTGTCTGGTCTTGCTTTCATTGGATCCAAACTGTTAGTCAAACCGATTCAAAATACAGCCAGACTAGTTTGCTTTTTACTGTGCCTGTTTCCAAATAAAAATGTGCTCACTATGGATGCTCAAGCTGATCACCTGACCAATGTCTTTGGGAACAATTGCAGGTATGGGTAATTCTACAGTGTTTTCCTCAATCATTTCTGGTCGATCCTCAGATTTTGGATGCTCATGCCTCTAACCATATTGCTGGCAACTATTCTTTTTTTCTCCACTATTACCTATCAAAACACCAAACCACATTACTCTTGTTGATGGCTCAAAAGTCCAAGCCACTGGCAGAGATAAACCATCACCACTTGTCTCTCTACCATTAGACTCAGTCCTCTTAATGCCTAATTGTCCCTTTAATATGATTTCAATTAGTCAACACACCCAATCTTTTGTAGCGAAATAAACTTTATTCTCTGGAACCGGAGTTCGGGGGAGACGATTGGAGCAGGAATTGAGTCTCCTAGTATTCACTACCTACATACTTCATTATCCAATGCATGTTTAGCCTCTCTTCATCAACATTTAGGTCATCCAAAATCTGAATAAGTACTCCGTAAAAAAAATAAGGTCCACCACCTCTTTAAAGTTCAATTATTAGAATGTGAGACATGTCAACTTGGTAACCATGTCCCTGCTTCATTCACAGAAAGAGTTTAATGTCATACAGCATCACATTTCTACTTAATTCATTCTGATGTTCGGAGTCCTAATCGAGCCACTTCTATTTTGGGTTTTTTATCCTTTTATTTACTTTCATTAATGATTTCTCTCGTGGTATTTTCATTATTTTTTAATGAAAGAAAAGTCTGAAGTCCATGAACTGTTCACTGTCTTCCAAATTTTTTTTAATGAGATGATTGGGATCCATACTCAATTTGGTGTGCCCATTAAAATCTTACAAAGTGACAATGCTAAAGAATACTTTGTCACCTCCTTTAGATGTGGTTTTCTAATCTCAAGATACATCAACAATGCATCTAGGTAAAAGGATTACTTTAGGAAGAGCATAACCATGACCATATAGCTAGAAGATACTCAAATATTGATCAGGCAAGTTATCCATATTAAAGGAAATCAACGTCTAGATAATGTGTTTATTTGTTAGAGATCCAGGCACGAAGCTGAATATCGTGTTGTTGACCCCACATATGACTATATGAGCCTACAAGGTTGAAACATTTACTTCTAGAATTGCAATATGTTAATTAGGCACTAACGTCACATATGTCATAACAAAACTAAGATATGTAAATGTAACTCTATCCCTAATGATAATGGACTTAGACCATTATGTACAACCTGGGACTTTGATATATCAATGAAATATATCTTCCTCTCGTATTTTAGAAAATGAGTGTTAACAATTGTTGACGACAAATTTAATTCATAAAAGCAACAAAGCCTCAATAGAGTAAAAGACTAATGGTATGAAACATAACTTCAACAAAATGAACCTATACGTTATGACATCCTGGCATCCGAATACAACTATTCCAAAAAGATCAAAACAAAAAGGTGCATTTCGGTTGATCAAAGATACCCTGAAGGATAATAAAAGGGTTACAAGACATGACTAGGACAAACCGTTGTGCGTGTGCACGAAAAAAAACCTTAAGAAATGAACCAGAGGTGCACAGGGGAGAACTGACATTGGTCGACCACCTAACCAGTGCTGGCCAATGGAAGGATGTTTGTGACTGGAAGCCATTGATCAAACCGGCACCTGACAAGACCTAAGAGAGCCTTCTTGGAAAATTCTTAACTATTTGTAAATTTTTTATTTCTACTTTCAATCAAACCCTAATTTTTTCATGGATTATTTTAGGATATGAGATGATTTTCAAGTTTAAAGTGGTTGGATGGAGCCAAATAAAATTTTCTTAAATTACTTTATATAGATTTAATCATGATAACAATCATTGTCTTTAAATGTTGATTAGTGAACAAGGCTAGGTAAATCATGTCTTTCAGTGATTTGGAATTGTCAAAACATAGAGATTTGAGACAAATAACTTGAAGATCATTAGGATTAATTTAGATATTTGTATTTAAAAATCAAGTTTATTTGCTTAGTATTTTAGTGTGTGCCTAGCTATAAATAGGCTCATTTTGCATATGTAAAATTAGATCGAGTCGAAATATAAAAGTTTGTAAAATCTCGTTTTTGACCCTTGGAGTTGTGAGAAGTTTTGTCTTGTAAGATTTAAGTTGAGATACTTTGAATGTTTTTTAATATTCAAGTTGATTAGTTTTTAAAACTTCTGTGCATTGCCAATGGTGCTAAAAGTCATTTTTGACAATAATTTAGCTTTAAGTAACACTATGCTTGATTCAAGGAATTTGTAAGGGAAAAGAAAAGAAAATGGTATGAAAAAGAATTTTTCTTGTTTGGCTCGAGAGGAAAAGAAAAGAAAATGAGAAGAGGAACTAAACCAGGAAGAGTGAAAACAATTTTCGTATGATTTTGGTGAGGAAAACGAGAGAAATCATTTTCTTTTCCTTTCTTTCCGAATTCCACGAACCAAACATAGCGTACATGATCAAATAAATCAAAGAGGCACATCAAAATTCCATTTCTTTTTCCATGAGTTTTGGACACTAAATACAGTAATTTAACAAGGGCTAACGAAAATAGCATATCGGTCTTTACAAGGTAAGGTTGTGATGAATCGAACAAAAATAGCATATCTGTTTTTACAAGGTAAGGTTGCGATGAAGCACACATCTTGAACCCTAACATACAACAATAAAGAGTTTTTTGTTGTCTTAAATATAACTTGAGAGTTTCCTTTCAAGTTGCTACCTTACGTTTAGCAATTTAGCTTAGAAGTCCAAAACCTATCGTTTCACTTGTTTGGTAAGCTTTGGAACATGAGGACAATAAGTGGTGGGTGAGCTGGTTAACGCGTAGAAAATCTTTCGTGGAGATCGTTTTCCCTATCCATGCCATCTATCCTCGTGTCTTGATAAAGAAACAATTGATTGCCCTACATTGTTCCACATGGCCAAAAATGGAAAAAAAAAGAAGATAGAAAGATTAAACATTAAAAGAGTAGAGATTACCTGCATACATAATGAGACAATACAGCTGCTATGCATCATATTCAAAACAGCATGAACTCATTCAAATAAGTCAGTTACATATAGCAAGCTTCCCTGTCCACTCATCAGCAACGCCATAGTCAATACTAAGCTCTCGTAAAGGAGGGATATTCTCCATTGCAAACAACATAAGGCGAGGGAAGCAGACATTATTATGATCATAAAGTACCAACTGGACAAGAACATTTGGACTTGAACTATGGCTCATGTAACAGGCTACATTTCTCATTCGGGATACGTCCATTGCATAATCCAAGGGAGGGATTGAAGGACGACTTGGGCGCACATAGTCATCATATATTTGTGATAAATCTCCCCATTCAGCCCATCTCTCCACGAAACGAATTGGATATATTAAACTATCACCATTCATTTTGAAAATTTGGGCTTGCTCCATGGTTAAGACAACACCAGCATATTCACAAATAAATGAGCCAGATTGAATAAGATCCAATGATCTAACTCCCCAACCGGTCTCCCTTGATCGAAACACTTCAAACCTCTTTTTCACACCACTTTGACTGACTCGATTCCTGCAAGTTGGAGGGCAGTGACAATGCGGGCCACATTCAAAAACCACAGGTTTCCCCCTCAACAATAAACCATTTTGATCATATGCAAACTCGCCACCATTTCTAATCATACAAAAGCAATTGTCAACACATCCATTAACACATTCACAGCCTGTACCATTTCCCATGAAATGGTACACATGTTGGGGGAAAATAGATTTGGGCAGATAGTCATAATATGCAGGCTCTTGATCAGCATCAATGTCATTATACAAGAAAACAGGTGTGTTCTCTTTTTTCCTTGATAAATCAAGGCTTAGATACCCTGTTGGCCTCGCCACCAGTGGCTGTGTCCTGAGAGCCTGCGCGAACCTCAGAACAGAACTTCCCAGTTCTGGTTGATTCTCAATCCTAGCTAGTTTAAACTTTAACACAAGAAATCCAGACTTGCCCACAGCTGGCCAATAATCAATAATCCTATATAAACCATCATAAACATAGACTTTACCGCTAGCACTACCCGCATATCTAAACCCACGAATCACCCTAACCTCAATGCCATAGTGCATGCTTCTCTCCAATGCCAAATTCCCACCTTCAAGCTTCTGATTCGTACACTGCCGTGAAAACTTGTCCTGCCCACCATGCCCAGTATAGACAAGAACATCCCCTGCATCCTCATCGTCCTCGTACCCCCCAGAAACTATGATGCTAGTGGCAATTGGCTCCCTATTCGAGCTCTGACTGGCAGGGACATAGTCAATTCCAGCTTGAGGTTGCCCGTGCAACCCAACCACGCACAACTCCATCCTGAAAAAGAACAGGTCACCAATGATCACTCCTGGTATGTCTCCCACAATTCTCTTATCACGGTTCAACCAGAGCCCTTTCTCTCTCATCAACTGTGAAGCCTTCAGGTCTCCTCTTGGTTTCCTGTGGCGTAAGTATTGCTGGTAGGTATCGCCCTTCTCCGTAGCCAGCTGTGAAGCATAGATTTCTCCTATGGATGGAGGGTCCATTTGATGTTTCCTCTCATCTTCCAGTATGGCGAGAACACGAATAGAATCAAAAAGCATCCGGGTCCTCCGAACCACATCCCGGAAATATCTTTGGTCCTCAGGTTTAAGATCCGTAACTCTTACCAGCTCAGACGACCTCTGCTGATACTTCTTCTTCGAAATCACCAAACCTGAGGTCTGCTCATCATTATTTACGGGCACAATAGCTCTAGAATCTGGTTCCTCCAAAGCATCCACATCCCCGTATCCCTGCATTCTCTTAGCAAAAGCATCATGAAACATCTCAGAGATTCGACTGAATTCTGAATACACATTCGCCTCATTTGAGGACGGCAAGATGTCACTGGCATTGGGTTCCTGCGGGCTGCGAAGACTGAAAGCAGAATTGGTACTTGATTTGACATTGGAGGCGGAAGGGCTAGGGTTCGCAAAGATCGGTGGGGTTTGAAGGTCGGCTTGGGTGTATTCTTCAAGCGGCTCGAGTTTAGGTTCGATCAAAGGAGTGCCCCCAGCGCCGGCGGTGAGGGCGGTGGCGGCGGAGTTGGATGGGCCAAGTTGGAGAAATGGAGCCAAAGATTCCATCTTTTGCGCTCAATTCTTCAACTTCTTTAAAGAGGGAGAAAGAGAAACAGATTTAATATCTGGTGGTTCATTAAAAGTTAGGGGAGCAATGGCAGTGAGCTCACTGAGGGGATTTCGGGGACGTGCATTTAAATGAATGAATAAACGCGTGTAAGCATAGTACAATACAACACCATATGTGATTAATAAATGGATTATGGTATCTGTACCCAAGGTTTCTACCCCAATTTGTACCCTGCAGTTTTGTACCAACATTTTGTGTTGGTGTAAAATTAATTTTTGTTAAACGCACCAACATATGTTTCCGTGTGAATATTTATTAACGCACCAACACTCGTGTCGGTGTAAACCATCGAAATATTTGTGTAAGCCTGTGGTGTACAAATGAGGTATATTTTTTGGTGTAAGTGTAGCATGGTCCTTAATAAATTACCTTAGTTCTGCTAAAGTAATTTTTTATTCAACTTACGAGTATTTTTTTATTTATTATTTATTTTTATTATAATCAACTGAGATTAAAGCACACTAGTTCAGATCAAAAATAATTTTGAATATATTTGCAATTAGATCAAATCAGACGAGAGCAAATCAGACCAAATCAGATCTTCAAAATATCAGATGAGATCAGGCGAACGGAATACGGTCTAAGCAATGTCATGAGATGATCTTAAATCGTACGATATTCCATTCATAAAATTGACGATTCTTACCCCTCCTAACTCTTTGATAAATCACCCACCCGCCCCGCTCCGAACCCATTGTCTCACCCCCTTCAATTGCATCACCCAAGTTTAGTTGACTTAAGAGTCAAAATTTAAAGGTGATTTAGAGGGCGGTTCCCATGACATTGCTAAGTCCCCATGATATTGCTTAGCAATGTCATGAAATGACCCAGGGGCCGTATGATACTTCTTTCGTAAAATTGACAGTTCTTACATCTCCTAATCCTCTGGTAAACCTCCCTCATCCCGCGCTGCCCTAAACCCACCGCCACACCCCTTTCAATTGCATCCCCCAAGTTTAGCTCCATTGAATGTCAGTACCAGCTAGCTTGGTTTTCCTTCATAGGATTTTCTTAACCCATTGGTTAGTAGATCATCTAAATTATCCTTTGGTCCAGTCATGATAACATAGTTGATAAAAGTTTTTTTAATGGTGTTATTTCTTCGATGAATGGAGCCGGTCGTTTGTCCCACCTTGCAATGTCCTTTAGGAAATTCCACTCTTCATTTATCTAGGGTTATGAACTCACATTCAATAATGGACGCAACAATAAGTGTCTGCTTTATGAACTTAGTAGATACAACTACACCCGCTTGTATAAGGATATATCCATTCATGAATTTTGAGTATGTTATGTCAGATATCCACTTTGCGTCTATCTATTCTCTAACATAATGGGATATGTTGTAACATATGCTTGTGCATAACGAAAATGGATTTTTTCCATATAATTATAATTTTGAGCACATTTAAATGATAAATAAAATGTGGAATTTAGACACAAAATTAGACCCCATATGATGTCCCTTCCTCTATCAACCCTTTTGAATTTACAAAGATTTAGAGTGGAGGAGTTAGCATTTATGATGTGAATGCAATCTTCTAAATATTCCATAATTGACTTGGGAGAATTTTGTTTGGTGTGAATGCAATTTATAAAATATTTCATGCATGGCATTAGAAAATGTAGACTCTCCTTTTTCAATTTTTTGATAAATTGTGTGAAAATTACTCATTATCAAACACTAAATTTGTAACATCCTAAAATTAGTCTAAAACATGGAATAGTATTTATTTAAAAAAAAGTTTAAAAATAAAAATAAGGTTTTTCCTTTACTTTTTTTCTACTTTAGAATATGCTACGGAAGGAATATAATGTCAAATTTTATATACTCTCTGTGTCCAAGATTATTTTTTCTATTAGGCGTTACGAGGCTTGACTGACTTTATTTTCAATTTAATTAATTTGATTGTAAGTGTGTAAAATTAAAAAATAAAATTTATATATTTAAAACATACCTAAAGAGTTATATGAAACAATAGACAACATGACTATGTTATACTAGTATTATATAATGAGTAGTAAAAATGATTAAACTAAGTGAATAATGTTTGACAATGTTAATAGTGCACGAAGAGAACATTTCTAGAGAGATAGAGTTTAATATTGGTGTCATTGGATAAACTTTGACTTGAATTTTCAATGACATATTATTTGTCAAGTTTGGACTTGTTTATGAAAAGTTATGATAAAAAATGCATTACCATATAATATTTAAATACTCCCTCCACTCCAAAATTTTCCTAATGTTCCCTTAGTCAGTGGTCAAACTTTTTCTTCTTTCTTTACTTAATTTTATTAATCATTTATTAAAATAATGTAGTCATGTCATCTCTTATTTTATAGTGCATTACATATATATAGTTTTTATTATATATCTTTATTTTCAAATAGTGTACTATTATTTAAATAAATTGAATTAAAGATAAACACAGTTAAGTCTCATTATCTGAAACTTAAAAATAATTTTGGGATGGCCGGATGGGGGGGGGGGATTGAATGAAATCATAAATGATAATATGGTTGTTTTAAATCCTTTTGAACTTATACTAATTTAGCTTATTTTTATGATTATATTAATAGCAATCTTTCTAAATGGATGAAATTTTGGAAAATCTAAGTAAAGGAGAAAGACTAAAATATAAATAAAAATTAGGTAACAAATCAAAATAGTATCTTCATTTTTTATTTTTTTAAAATAAGATTTGCAATGTCAATAATTTCAACATATAATATCAAACAATCCTGATAATTAATATACTACGTCAGAATGTAGAATTCTATTTTAGGGATAAAATTATGCGATAGTATCTAAGAACTTAATCATTTGTCTTTACTTTGGCATTAACATTTTTACATTTTGAGATTAATACCAATTAAATTTTTTTTATGCATAATATAAATGCTAATAATTGCAATTGATTCCTTCAAAAGGAAAAAAAGTGCAATTAGTATTACCGTGGAATAAATATTGAACTTGATATTGATCTATTTTATTTTTGGAAATATCATTATTTTTTTACGAACCATTATATCATTGCAATTTCTAGCTCTTTTGCTTATGACATGTGCCAAAATTTTGAAAATATCATTACTTTTTTTCTTTTTGAGCTTGATGCATATTTACCTTATTTTTTTATATTATATTCATATTAATACTAATTATAATAATAGCATTAAATGCTATTACCATTTCAAAATGGATGAAATTTAAGAAAATTTAAGAAAGGGAGAAAGAATAAAATAGAAGTAAAAATTAGGGAATGAACCAAAATAATTTCAACATATAAAAGATTACTTTGGATTAACAATATACTCCCTCCGTCCCGAAAAACATGTGAGTTTTGGTTTTGGAGAGGGATTTAAGGGGAGTGTATTTTGGTATTGAATTTCCAAAAATGTCCTTTGATGTGATGAGTAAAAGTATGATTTGATGGATAGATTATTAGTAAAAAGGTATGATGTGATAGGTAGGGTATGAAAATGTAAGGGGTAAAAGTGACTTTTTAATGGAAATGAGAATTGTTTTTTGGGACGGATGAAAAAAGAAAGGAGAAAGGTTTTCTGGGACGGAGGGTGTACATCGTTGCATTGTCACAGTGCACAAATTTATTCTGGTATATGATAAAAATATGGGATTCCTAATTTAGGGATAAAGATTATATTTTACCCCTATTTTGGATAATTTTTAATCCACTAAGGGACTAGATCTTTTGTTGATTATACGAGACAAATTTTTGGAAAATAAGTATTTTTATAGTTTTTTAGAGTAAAATTCATAATTGATCCTTTATAACAGAGGGGTTTCCATATTTAGTCCTTTATTATCAAATATTACCCTCGTAGTCCTTTTTTAAGGGTGCCTTTCCACAAATGGTCCTTTTTTTGATCTTCTGCCATGTTGGTCTCAATTTAAAGGCTAAAAGTATAATTTGATATCAACATTATGTCTAGTAACGTGTTCTGATATTGGTTAAGCGGATAACACAAAAATAATGACTATGATTATGAGCTAGGATTCCGACAAAAGACCACATTTGTAGACTAAAAGGACTACTGCAGTAATGTTTGATAATAGAGGACTGAATAGGGAAACTGCCCTGTTATAAAGGGTCAATTATGGAATTTACTCTTTTTTTTAAAATATTTCACTATTAACTTAAGTTATCGTCTTAATTGAGAGCTTATATCATACGTTCGGGTGTATTTAGAGCTAGGTATATCCAACAAATATTTGTTTTGAATCAATGTAGTACTCATTTTAAAGTAACGTAGTGTTCATTCCATGCTTGCTCAGCGTAATGTGTTAATTCTAAAACAACATAGTATTTACCTGGAAACAACATATTGTTCATTCTGAAACATTTTTTAATTGTATGTTTACCATGATGTATGGTATATCTGACTGTATTGTGTAGTTTTCATCTAAATTACATCACCATCACCTTAGAAAAATTTTAAATAGCATAAATTAATTCAAAACTTTAAAATTATGATATAGAAAAATTAAAGTATAGTTGTAATGCCCCAAAAAAATCCAAAAAATTATATTGAATTTTTACTCAATTAAACAAATTTGTTTTGATTAAAATAAATTATTGTTGGGATTTGGGCTAAAATAAAATATGTTTTTATATCCAATACCAAAATTTGGATAAACCTTGTGGATATAAATCCAAACTACAAATCTATATGTGATCTTGATTGGGAACGAGAGTATATACCCAAATCAAAAATAAATAAAGAATTAGAGTTATGATGTGAACTTTTGAGATAAATTGTTAAAATAAATCATGAGAACAAAGAATATCAGAATCTTTTGAATAAAAGATTAATTAAATCAATTTTGACTCTATCAAGTCAAACACCCAGAAATAGGATGTTGGAAAAAATATTGCAAATAAATATAAGAATTATATGGTTGCATAGAGTTTAACTGTATGAGAGCAACGGTATAAAGGGATTTTAATTCGGTGAAAGTTGGACAAAAAGTGTGCCCCGACTGGACCAAATTAGTACCAATCAGGGTGTGTGTAACACCCCAACTCGAATAACCCAATTACATAGATTATTTGAGCCGAAGTAGTTACCATGATGGTAAATACGCATAACAATTTGAGGAATAATTTAAAACCAATTTAAACTTTAATATAAATGATAATTTCAAATATTAAATTCAGAGTATTGCTGAAACAATGCGGAAGCTTAAATATAAAACATAATCAAATTGTTTACATTTTTCTGGGTTCTCGCCCGAAAAGGTATTTATTTAATTAAAACATCATAAATGTGGTCCACCAGTCCGTACATCTCGTCACTCTCATTGACCTCCGGGATGGGCTCCATGATCAGTATTGTTACCTGCGTGTAGCAAGTAAAACAAACTACACGCTCAGCGTCAGCTGAGGAATACGCTAATACAACAATTCCAAGTTGAATAGCAAGTAGACATATAATTATCATGATATGACATAATATAGCATGTATGCTCAAATGATGATTGTGATACGTAATAAATGTCATACATAGTCATAATGATTGCATTTGCTTGATGATGAATTCATGCTGTATGATTCTAGGTCACAAGGACAAGCCTTGAACTATGAGATTCGCCCATTTTGTACGACGAACTCACGCAAAAATAGGGGTGGTACTCGAAAGCCTAAGTACCATGTACGTACACTAAGCCCGGTCCGTGATGTCGGACTGCTAAGTCC